GAACTTTCTTTAATATGTCTCATAGTACAGGTCTGCTGGTGACCAATTCTCTCAGCTTTTTGTCTGAAAAAGTTTTTATTTTGCCTTCATTTTTGAAGGGTATTTTCCCTGAATATAGAATTCTAGGTTGACAGGGGGTTTTTTCCATTAGCACTTTAAAAATGTCATTCACCTGTTTGCTGGCTTGCACATTTTCTGATAAGAAGTCCATAGTTATTCTTATCTTCGCACTTCTGTATATAACATGTCCTCCTCGCCCCCCCCCCCGGCCCCGCTGCTCTAAGATTTTCTCTTTATCACTAGTTTTCAGCAATTTTATTATGACGTGTTTCGGTGTATGTATGTGGTGTTTTGGTTTTGTTGTTTGTTTAGTCTTGGTAGGGGTTGGCTGGGCTTCTTGGATCTAGTTTTCATCAAATTTGGGGGGAAAAATTTCAACCGTTATTTCAACTATATTTTTATCCTCTCCCCCTTTTCCTCGTCTTTTCAGATTCCAGTTACATGTGTGTTAGATGATTTTCTGTTATGTCTGGGTCACTGAGACTGTTTTGTAAATATCTTTTTTTTTTTCATTTTGATCTCCATTTGGGTTAGTTTCTATTGCTATATCGTCAAGTTTTCTAATCTTTTGGGGGGGGGGGGGTTGGACCCTGAACATCTCCCTACCTGTGTGTATCCTGGGAATTGTTCAGCTTAAATCTAATCCTTCTTTTTATCCTCAAGTTTTCTAATCCAGTGTCTAATCTGCTGTTAATCACATCCAGTGAAATTTTCATTTTAACTGTTATAGTTTTCACCTCCAGAAGCCCCACTTGGATCTTGTCTATATTGTCCATTTTTTTCATTATGTTTCTGTTTTTCTTTCAGTACTTATACATAGTTAAACTGGCTGTTATCCTTATCTGTAAGTTCTACCAGTAATCATTTTTGAGTATTTCTGTTGACCTGATTTTCCTTGCCATGGGTCACAGTTTCCTGCTTCTTGGCATTTCAGTAATTTTATTTTGGCTGTTGGACGTCATAGAGATCATATTGTTGAGTGTCTAGATTTTGTTATTTCACTTTGAAAAGGGTTGGACTTCCTTTGGGGAGGTAGTTATTTGTGGACCAGCTTCATCACATTGAGGCCTATTTGTAAGCTTTTCTAGAGCAGGTTCGGGGTGGCTGTGGCCCCAGGAGTCGGTCAGTCCTACGACTAAGGCATGGCCCCTCTGAGTCTCTACTGAATGGCCCAGGTGATCACTGAGGACTCTTTACTCTGGTTTGTCGAACTGAACATCTCGCTACCTATGTGTGTCCTGGGAATTGTTCAGCTTAAAGCTTCCTGGCCATTCCTTTCCTAGTCTTTGGGAGTTTTATTATGTATGCGTGGCTTGGGAGTCAGGAAAGGCTCAAGGGGAGCCTTATGCTGATTTTTTGGAGCTCTTCTTTTCTGCGTAGCTCCCTCCTTTCTGGAACTCTGCTCTGCAACTTCTAGCTGCATCAACTGCCCTGGATGCTAGTCTGGGTCTTGATGAAGCCACCAAGCTCCGTTTGAGTCCCCCTTCCCTGCACTCTCAGTCTAGAAATTGCCTCCAGGCAGAACCAGGACAATGATAAGGCTTATCTCAGTTGTTTCTCTTCTCTCAGGGTGACGATCCTGCACTTCCTGCTGCCCAGTTATCTGAAAACTTGTTTCAAATCTATTTTGTCCAGTTTTTTTTTTTAAAGATTTCATTTATTTATTTAAAAGAGAGAGAGAGAGAGAGAGCACATGAGAGAGGGGAGGGTCAGAGGGAGAAGCAGACTCCCCGCTCAGCAGGGAGCCCGATGTGGGACTCGATCCCGGGACTCCAGGATCATGACCTGAGCCGAAGGCAGTCGCTTAACCGACTCAGCCACCCAGGCGCCCTGTCCAGTTTTTTTTTTTTATTTATTTGACAGAGAGAGACACAGCGAGAGAGGGAACACAAGCAGGGGGAGTGGGAGAGGGAGAAGCAGGCTTCCCGTGGAGCAGGGAGCCCGATGCGGGGCTCGATCCCAGGACCCCGGGACCATGACCTGAGCCGAAGGCAGCCGCTTAACGACTGAGCCACCTTATGGCAGGACATTGTTCTTTGTTACAATATCATGGCCAGAAGTAGAAGTGTCTATCATCTATCCCTTTCAATATCTGATTTTATGTAAAAGTCTTTCTGGAGTGTCTGGGTCTTCTACTCCTTGAGCTAGTGTAGAAAATGCCTCCTTTTTGTTTAGTTAGGAATTAAATTGAATTGACCTGACATCAGAACAGAAACTGTGTTCCTGCTTCTTTTGAATTCGCTGAAACGGGAGGCCTCTGAGGCACACACATTTGTGGTAATATAATTACACCATTTCACATATTTTGCAATCTGGAAGAAAAAGGTAAATTGTACATATTGTTCAGATCTTTTATTTAGCAGCTTGGTGTTTGAAGATCTTTTCTTTGAGGCTCCTTTTTCTAGTTGTTTTGTCCAACTTTTTGTTTTGTCAGACATTTCACAGAAATGTTCTTGTCTGCATCTGTCTCACTGTCACCTGGATAATTGTTTGAGTTGGGTGGGGTATGGCCTTTAAAAGGCCTTGCTTCTAGCCAACAAGACCTGGATCCTGCTCTTTTGTTGCCTCTCTTCGCTCCAGTGGCCCCATCTTTTTTGTTGCCCTTACAAAGTTGGAAGGCTCTCTCACTTCTCACTTAGTTATTTCTTCTGATATTCTTCTGGGGACGCTTCCTTCCTATGCAGTGTGAGCACTGGCCTCCTTGAGGCTGGCTGCCGGGAGGCCTGCGGCCGGCCCGTGTCAGAGCCAGGCTCGCTACTGCTGGTCCTCCATCTGTGTCTGTCTTCCCCGGGCTGCTCCTGGGCCAGCATTCATCGGTCTTGTCTGGGTCCCCTCTGGCCTGCCTGTAGTAATTCTTTGCCAGTCTATTTCCCCCAGTGTTTGGGGTATGTTTTCTTAGGCACACCTGTGCTCTGGCTTGTCACTCAGCTGCTGTGCAAGAGAAGACTGAGTAAGATTTAATACCAGGGAAAAGGAAATCACTAATCTTGTCCTAGGGGACCCAAAGGCAGGGCTGCTGTCACTCATGGCTCTTTTCACTTTCCTTAGCTCTGCCTGCCCCTACCCCAGGGTCTTGGCCTCCCCCAGGATGGACCCCCAGGAAACCCAGTCCTGGCAGGTCCTCTTGAGATACTTGAGGCCCAGGTGAGCTGTGCTTTCCTCTGCCTGGCTTAGGAATCTGTCACTGCTCCCTGAGTGTGGCCGTGACCTCTGCCTCTTTTCCCAGCATGACACACTACAGGACTTGAACTCCAGCTTAGGCCTGTCCTCCCTCTGCTTTCTTCCTGAGTCTACCAAGAAATGGACACCTGCTGGGGTTATAATTCCCATGATGCTAGTGGGGGAGCTGCATTTCGGTCCAGGAAAGTGATTGAACTGAGGTCCGTCGGGAAGACAGTGGGAGGCCAGGGCCATGGCCCAGGTCTTCTGATGCTTGGTCAGATTCTCTTTCCAGGACTTCTTGAGGCTTGTGCTTAGATCTCCATGCTAGCGATGCACACCCACTCCAGACCCTCACCTCTTACGCCTGCTATTACTAGTGTTCCCCCCACCCTCATTCTAGAGCGGATAGAAGGACAACTTATCCCTGGGAATTCTTTCAGGATTCAGTGACGTTTGACGATGTGGCCCAGTGCATCACAAAAGGAGTGACTGAGACTGGACGCCAAGCAGAGGACACTGGCATGTTACAGGAATGCGACCTCCATGGGTAAGGATGGCCCTAGCCCTTCCGCCAGCTTCCCCACAGCTGCACGGTCCTACACAGCTGGGTGTGGGGTCAGGGCCACCTGGAGTAGCCCTACACAAGCTTGCCTTCTGGGGGCTTAGACCCCCCCACCCTGGGGATCGGCTGTAAGAAAACACAAAAGTGTCTGCCACCCTCAGCGTTTCTTTTTTCTTTTTTGGTCAACATTTCAAAGTAGCAGGGCTCCCTCCCGACTCCTAATGGCATGGAAAGAAGCCCTGTCAGTGTTTTATTGCGAAAGAAATTAGAACAAACTGGCCACTATCATTTGGGAAACTTTTTTAAAAAAATCACAGATTACCCAAAAATTAGATGGCCATTTTATTATAGTTTATTGTTGAGGGACAGGTTGACACAGCAAGGCCCTCTGCCCTGAGAGGGGCTGCACATGTGAGGTGGGGAGGGTTGCTAAGACAGGAGCCTGCTGTGGGTCAGGTTTGGGAGTTGCAGCACAGGACGAAGTTCAGTGAGCAGGCGCTGAGGAATGTGAACCCGGAGAAAGGGAGGATCAGCTCTTCTGGATGACCACCTGGCACTGCATCCGGGTGGGCCCGGGGTCCGCCTCATCCGTTCCCTGGAGGGAGCCAGCCCTTGGGGAAGGCATTTGGAATGGATGAATGACCTGCCTGAGGGCGCAACCAAGCTCGACTTTGTGGATTAAAAGGGTTTCATCTTTGAAGGCCCTGCCCCACTCTGGCTGTGTTCTGATGGCATCTCTGGCTGCCAGCAAAACCCTTTTCCTTTTCCGTGAGCAGGAGTTCCTGTTTTGAATCCTACCTGGTGTGAGGACACGTGCTGCTGGTATCTGCCCCATCCCTTAGTGCAGATCGAGCGAAGCATTCTGGTGAGTGAAAAATGAAAAAATTGTGGGGGGACACCCAGCTGAGCCTTTGGGGAGGAGGTGCGGCCGCTTCTCTCCCATAGAGGAGGGAGGTCTCCTCAGGGCCGCTTCGGTGGCGGGGAGTGGGCAGCGACGAGGCCTCTCCGCGCCTCTCTCGTCCGAAGTCCTTGCTTCTAGTTGGATGGGCACCAGCCGGCCTGCCCGCAGCCTCTCTGGGCGCTGTGTTCAGCAGCTGTCTCAGGAGGAGTGCGACTCTCAACAAAGGAAAGTAACCTCCTTCCTTCCTCCTCTGCAGAGGAACAGTGTCTCGCGGTTCTCATCTCAGAAGGCATCTTGGTGACCCAACAGCAGACGATGGGCGAAGACGCTCAGCCACAGGAGATGGCATCCACCAGCTCCCCGCGGGCCGGGGAGCCCAGCCCCGAGGTCAAACAGAACAGGGACTCCGAGCGGAGGGGGGGGAGCCTTCAGAACCTGCCTATAGAACATCACTTCGCATGTAAAGAGTGCGGGGATGCCTTTCGGCTTAAGGTCCTCCTCGTGCAGCACCAGAGAATTCACAGTGAGGAGAAGGGCTGGGAGTGTGGTGATTGCGGGCAGGTCTTCAGGGGGGTCTCGGAGTTCAATGAGCACCGGAAGGGCCACGTGGCCGCAGAGCCCCAGCCCGGCCCCAGCCGAGCCCCAGAGGATGTTCTGGAGAAAAGGGAGCAAATGGAGAGGGAGGCGAAGCCCTTCGAGTGTGAGGAATGTGGGAAGAGGTTTAAGAAGAACGCAGGCCTCAGTCAGCATCTGCGTGTCCACAGCAGAGAGAAGCCCTTTGACTGTGAGGAATGCGGGCGGTCCTTCAAAGTGAGCACCCACCTCTTTCGCCATCAGAAGCTGCACACGTCCGAAAAGCCGTTCGCCTGCAGGGCGTGTGGCCGCGAGTTCCTGGATCGCCAGGAGCTTCTCAAGCACCAGCGGGTGCACACCGGCCACCTGCCCTTCGACTGTGACGACTGCGGCAAGTCCTTCCGCGGCGTCAACGGCCTGGCCGAGCACCAGCGCATCCACAGCGGGGCCAAGCCGTACGGGTGCCCCCACTGCGGCAAGCTCTTCCGGAGGAGCTCGGAGCTCACCAAGCACCGCCGCATCCACACGGGCGAGAAGCCGTACGAGTGCGGCCAGTGCGGGAAGGCCTTCCGGCAGAGCTCCAGCCTCCTGGAGCACCAGCGCATCCACACCGGTGAGCGGCCCTACGGCTGTGGCGACTGCGGCAAGGCCTTCCGCGGGCCGTCCGACCTCATTAAGCACCGGCGCATCCACAGCGGACTGAAACCCTACGAGTGTGACAAATGCGGGAAGGCCTTCCGGAGGAGCTCCGGCCTGAGTCGCCATCGGAGGACCCACAGCGGAGCGAGGCGCTGCGAGTGCAGCGCGTGTGGCCGCGTGTTCAAGAGGCGCTCGGCGCTGCAGAAGCATCAGCCGACCCACCACGACTAGAGGAGGCCCCGAGGAGGCCCCCGGAGGCGGCGGCTTCCCGCGGGGCGCGGGGGGGGGGGGGCGAGTCCCTAGAGGGGCAGGGCAGAGTCAAAGGAGATGAACAGTTTTGTAGCGCTGATATATTTTCGCATCAGAAAGGTCGAATCCAATTTATACTGTCACCAGCAATTTATAAGTGTACATGTTTCCCATTTTGCCTATCGAGAGTAGCTTCTCCGACATTCTAATTTATTTGGACTAGTGTGACGGGCATAAAGTACCTTCAAGGTATTCCAGTCCGCGGGCCTTGAAACCGAGAATGAGAGAAGAGAAACCTGCATGTGGGGGGTGGAGGGGGGCGTGTAGGTCCCCTTCTCCCGGCTGCTCCCTCTGGGAACGGGACACAGAGCTAGTCAGTGATGGCCTCGATGTAACGTGACCCCAGCTTTCCTGAAGGCAAGATAGAGCCCCAGAGTTGTTTGGCCTACTTGAATTTATAAATTGTTAGGGATGTACATAGAACACTCAAATGTCTTATAATATTTAATTTATTAATTCAGTTATACGTACATACTGTAAATCACATATTACATAGAATAATATATTACTTTAGAAAATACTCCTTTTTTTCCCCTCACGCCACTCCACGAGATGATTTTATTCTGAATCCTCACATGCATCTCTGACCTCACCATCTTCACCAACCTCATAGCCCCTTTTGAGTCCCCCGACAGTTTCAAAGCACATCCGATGGCTTCCATCCATCTAAGCTGTGTGCCATATAGCACTGTGACAATCCCTGCACAAGGCTCTCACTAGAAACTTCCTCCCAAGCCATAAGTACGTGTTCACATACCGTTAGGACAGTTGTTTTTAAATTTGTCCCGTAGCTCCACAACATAACCACTTACCGTGTTTGCCTTTTTCAAATGACCGTTAAAAGACTTTTTTGAAGCATCTATAACTTGGCATTGTGAGGTCATACTCCCAGGAATATAAGTACTGAATCTGGGCTACATTGCTTTTGTGTCCATTTTTCTTCAACCAGTTCGTTCTGGTGACTTCCATGTGCGTCCAAAACTAAGCATCAACTGGGGTCTGTTTCGGGTTCATAGGTCTTGTCCTTAAGCAGCACTGTTCTGTTCAAGCTCAAGTAGTTGAAAGAGCATCCCCATAACAGGGACGTCTCAAGGACTCAAGTATAAGGTGATGCCTCTTTTTTCGGGAGCGATAGCCTCTCCTCCCATGGAGGCAGCCCTCCGTTTCGGGCTCTAAAACAGGGGTGATCACAGGACTACCTCCTAAGGTTATCGTGAGAACTGCGACGCCACGCCTGGCCCGAAGGTGCACACTCAGTGAAGGTCGTCTGCTGTCATCACCATAATTATTGCTGTCGTTCTGTGGCTCCTTAGCACCGGAACTGGGGATGGACCCAGGCCTCCTGACTCCTAGTCTCCCCTTCTTTCTCCCGTGCAATGACTTAAATCGTGTTCCTGTTTTCTTGCACGCAAATCGTACGTTCATCTCCTTTGACCAGTTACCAAGTTACCTTTGGATATATTGACTTCACACAGCGGTTCTTTCTATATCGATTGTGATGATCTCTTTTCCAGTTTTATTGCTTTGCTCTTTGTAGCAGTTTATTACATTTTGTCGTGCGAGTTTTAAGTTTTACATATCTGAGCACTCACCGTTGTCCGTTAAGCCGTAACTTCCATTGCTTCCGTACTGAGATACGATGATGTTTTCTTCTAGAATTTTAATTACAAATGAAAAGTTGAAAGCCCTGCCCCACCAGAAGGTGGATGCACCAGGTGGGCAGGCTGGATGGGAAGGGGCCAGAGAAGCAGGCTCTCTCCTCATCCAAGACGCAGACTCTGTGCATGTCTGTGGGCAGTACTTGACTATCCAACCTGGCCACGCAGACACGCAAGAGAAACGTCCATCTCGGATTGGCCAGAACATTCTGACTGTTCCTCAGTATAGCCCTCCCTGTCAGCAGCAGGCCTGGGCCTAAACTAGATCAATGGGGTGGTCCAAACGTGGTCTTGGCTGCAGCTGGCTCTCCTTCAAGCTCCTGGGAGCTTTGGCCATGCCCGGCATGGATTCAGTGCCTGCGCAGCAGATCCACCCAAGACACATCTCCTCGAACACAAGAAGACTCACTTGACCGATGCGGTCATGTGGATTGCATCCTCCTCCTAGTGAGTGACTCTGGAAACAGAAAGAGGTCAGTTTGGTGGCTTTTGCTTTGGGCAACTAGGGGGAAATTCACCCACGTGTTCTGACGTTACCTCCTGCAGCTACACCTAAGAGGAGCAACAGAGCAGAGGCTCGGAGCGGAACCGTGCCCCTCTGATGCCCTGTGCGTCACGGCCATAGACGCCGGCCACAACAGGCCCAGGCTGGGACCGTCAGCGGCCATGCCCAGGAGGGGCAATAGAACAAGGGTTTGGAGGGCAACCGTGCCCTTCTGATGGCCCATGTGGCGTAGAAACCGAAGCTGGTCATCCTGGGGCTAGGCTGTTACTCCCGACAGCCTCCCCCAAGAGGAACGGCAGCAAGGGCTGGCCAGAAAGCTGGCCTCCAGTGACCTGCCGAACCCGCAGGTAGAAGCCAGCCGCACCGGGGCTGTGGTGTGACCTCCCAGCAGCTGTGCCCCAGGGGCCACTAGCGGGCCCCTAGAGGGGGTGTACCCTTCCTGATGGCCGCCCCGCCCCACCCCCCCGCCGCCGAGGCTGAGACGGAGCTTCTCAGGCCCCCATCCTGGGAAGCAGGGTCCCCTGGTGACCGCTGTGACCTTAGCCAGAAGGTCCTCGGGAATGGCCGCCAGGCCACGGGAGTGGCTCTCTGTGATGTCTCCATCCCGGCCCTCAGGCTGGAGAGAAGCCAACAGCACTTGTTACATAGCCGCTGCTTTTGCTCTGTGGCTTCCGGTCCAACTGTGTCCGCAGTCACTGCTTCCTTCTGCATCACTGGTCTCTTTTCAAGCTGTCAGGACACATTCGACACAACGGCCATTGGGTAAGGAACTTGACATTGACGGGGGGCAAGTCTGGCAGCTCACTAGCCGTTTGTCAGCTTCTCTGAAGGATCCAGATACAGTATTAGCTCAGAACTCAGCGTTGTCGCCGCCGCTCCGTAGCTCGCCCGCTGGGACGCGGCGTCCTGGCGTCACGTCATGCCCTCCTTGACTTTTGCCATTCTCAGTTCTCGCGTTCTCTCTGACACAAACCCTCTTCTAGAGTTAACACTAAAGACCGCATCTTTTCTGTCGCTGTGTTTGCGGGTGACGTCCGTGCTCTGTCCGGCGCAAGCAGCCTGTGGCTTTAACGTGTGTCCTGTAGTTACGCCAAGTTCAGTGTTATGTGATCAAGCTTCCTGTTGTGTGTGCTCGTCTATGCATTTGTGTATCTACCTCATTTCGTTTTTTCTTTCTAACCACACACATTCCTTTCGCAAGGGAAATGTAGAGCAGTTGGGTTACATAGAACGCCGACTCTCATTAGAAATAGATCCTTTTCTTAGATTCTGAAAGAAACCTTCCATTGCTTTTATTAAAGTTTTGAATACTTGCTGAAATTTTTAAATGAAAGTGGTTGTTTACCATTTTTGCTGCTTATTACGATTAACTGTGTTGATTAGTTATGTCTTACCCACTTCTGCACTTCCAGAGCGAGCCCCACCCCCACCCCCGCTCAAATCGCAGTGTTGGCATTCCACGGGCCCGGGGTTTCAGCCTTGTCGTGTGCCCCGGGACCCTCACCGCCCCCCCAGGCCACATTAATTCAACCAGAACTGAACCCTTGACTCGAGGGCAGCAACCAGTCATCAGAGCCGACTGGACACGACAGGCTGGGCCTTTCAGGTTCTCTGTCTGTGAAGTGCAAACAAGAAAAATGAGAGAGGAGTTTCTAGTTGGTATTGGAAGAAAGAGGGAGCCACACGATATATAGAGGAGTTGACCCCATGGGTGGCACCAGCTGGAAGATGTGTGGGCTCCTGCTAAGCACTCCAGAGCTGCCTCAGCTCCAGCACCCCAGCGGAGTCCTGGCCTCATTATGTTCTTGGATTTCGGGCAGCTGCCCCCATCAGTTCATTTGTGTCCCCACCGTAGTCTCCCTTGACCTGAGCCAGCTTGAGTGGGTCTCTGCTTTCTGCAATCTGTCAAGAGCCAGTTGCCTTTTACCACTTGGCTGCTTCCTGAGGAGAATCACATGGCTGGTTTTCCTCATGTTCTACCCGGCTTGGGTTCCCAGCCCAAGCCCCACCTGACTATCGGAAACACCTGTTTGAATGTGGTACTGTACTCTGCTCACTCAGATGGGTAAAAATCTATGCCTTTTAGTCTCAGTGAGTTGGACCAATGCCTTTCTGTCCAGGTAGCGTTGCTGTACGGTTCCCCTGTTTGTCCCATGAAATGAGTTTAAGTCAACACCCACCACCTTGTTGTTTATTTTGGAAGCGTCTCGCTACTTCCAGAGAATCCATCAGATTGGGGAATTGAGAATTTCTCTATTACTAGTATACTTACATTCTGTACTTCTCCTAGTATCAGTTTAGGTGTTTACCTTCAAAACTAGAAATGGTCTCTTTTAACTTGGCCTTCAATGTTCTTTGCGTATCTAAGAACAGTAGCCGTGTCTGCCCCGGTCCATATTTCAGTTGTTGGCGCTCTTCTCTCATTCCTCCCTGAGCTCCTTAACTTGTCTGTTTTATGGCACTTACTATAATCAGCCTTGCACTAGAGCTTCGCCCTCCCCACCTGCCCCCCACCCGTTAGATTGTGAGCTCTTATAAGACAGGGGTGACCCTTCATTTCTGATTCCCCTACCAGATCTAGCACAGTGCCTTGCATCAAGTAGATTTCAATAAATATATGTTAAATGGCATTGGTGTTCCTGGACTTATTTTGTCAAAGTTTAGGTCAACAGCTCTTCCCTTGCTCCTTTCTCTACGCTCTGAAGTTCTTTTTTTTTTTTTTAAGATTTTATTTATTTATTTGAGAGAGAGAGAATGAG